CAGACAGACAGACAGACAGACTGATGAACAGCCAATTCTGTCTCCATGGTTACTGAATGATACACACGAGGAAATCTGGAAAGTAACTCGTTATCACAGGAAAACGTCTCTGTTATCTCGTGATAACGAGAAAACCATGGAATATAATTATAAGCGGAAAACGGCCGCTCTCGGCTTCCGTAGTTTTCATTTATGCCTTACTATCAACGTTTTCATTAGAGAGACATTAAAACACAATCCAGCGAATCAGTTAAAAAACAGAAAGCCCTCATTAAAAAACAAATTCTTTGATTTAAAATAAGAAAAGAACACAGAAAAGTTGAAGTCATTTGAAGACTGGACTTATTTCTGTGACAAAAAGAGAAACGATAAAACTATTTTACATTTGAAAAAAAAAAATCACCTTTAGGGCTGGATCAAATGTTAACGAGGGCCAGATTTGTCACACAAACTTTGAATTTGACGTGTTTTAAAAGGTTTATTTTTACACAATAGTTTGCTGCCCTTAGGTCAAGAAGAGCCATGAGGCCTCAGGGTTAATTCAAGTTATGGACCAACGAAAATGCATTAAAACAAAAAATACAGTCAGCATCCCAGCTTAGTTACTATGTTTGTTCAGRTGGACCAAATCTAATTTACTGGTAAAAAACACCAACAACAAACATTAGACTCCAAATCGCCCTGAAGATAAGTGGAATAAAAGAAGATGAAGGCAGTGGAAAATCAGTTGTAGTGAGCAGCACTACAGGAGAGAGTCCCTGTTGGCTTCCGCAGGACGATAAGAGGAAGGTGAAGAGCCTCTCAGATCATGTTTAATTCCTGTTTTTATTGGCAGTGCCACTGAAGGMAGCCTTTGTTACACAAAGCCAGAGAATTACCACACTGAGACGGAAAGACTGTGCACACAACACACAGAGACGCTTTATGAGAAATACTACATGAACAGCTCCTCGTCTGCTGTTTACTCCTCAGGGTGGGGGGGTATTTAATTTAGGAAATAAACTAGTTTAGAGACTATTGTGATGACACAAATAAGCTATCGGGTGTTCATGTAACTGCATGTACCTATGCATGTGYGTATGTGTTAGCAAAATATGTTATGATCCACCGGCCCACTGGACACATGTCTCTCAAAGCAATCACGTCTACCTTTTGATTAACCTTTGGCGTCAACAGTTAGCCACGTCTAATCAAACTTAGCAAAGACAAAATGTCCATAATTCAGTCAACTGAACAAACAACTGAGTCTGAGTTAGAATTTGGTGTTGTACCATCCTCACATAGTCTAAGCCAGGGCYGTTCAACTAAACTGCTCTGGRGGCCACAGTTAATACAGGCCGACAGCTCAGGGGCCGAACAATTAAAGTCATTACGTCAATAAACAAGATCTGTTACCTTTGAATTAGTTTATTTTGCTGCATTTAATCATAAATACAACATGCAGAACCCTGGGTAATAAGACATACAGCAGGTAAAATAAGTATTGAACACGTCACTATTTTTCTCAGTAAATATATTACTAGAGGTGCTAATGACATGAAATTTTCTCCAGATGTTGGTAACAACCCAAGTGATCCATACATACAAAG